GAGGTTAGGGAACAAATGTACTAAAATTAAATATGAAGTTCTTCCTTTGCAAAGTTTACTACCATCACCTCCCACCTGCCTTACATATCCAACCCACAGCCCTCATGCGCACGTACACACACACACACACACACACACACAAACACACAAACACACTTCAAAGTTTAAGGACCATGACGGTTGCTCTGTTCAGTTAACATGTTATGTGGCTTCTGGCTGATGAACCTACTGGGGGCTGAACTTAACCGACAAAAGAAACCAAGAAACAAATGAGAGTCTAGAGTTCAAGCCATATTCTCTTCAAATTTCACTGAATCAATTCAAATGCATATACTAGTATTATAGACATTTTACAAAACAGTTGACATAATAATATGAACAATTATTTTGTTAGGATTTTAATTTTTAAGGCAATAATTTCATCTTATAATCCATCTCACTTCTCCAGTCTAGCAATAGACAAAAATTTGATTTCTCGGGTGCAACGAAAAAATTCTTGGCTTCAGGAAGCCTCAAGTAACACCAAGAAATTTTTTTTTTTTTTTTTTTTTGCTGTACGTGGGCCTCTCACTGTTGTGGCCTCTCCCGTTGCGGAGCACAGGCTCTGGACACGCAGGCTCAGCGGCCATGGCTCACGGATCTAGCCGCTCCGCGGCATGTGGGATCTTCCCGGACCAGGGCACAAACCCATGTCCCCTGCATCGGCAGGCGGACTCTCAACCACTGCGCCACCACGGAAGCCCAACACCTAAAAATTTTAACAGCCAACAGAATAAAGTGGCTGAAGACTGGAGTTGCTCTTTTTGAGCAGAGACTTTCAAGTTCACTGCAAGTTGAGGGCAGTCATAAATAACAGCCTCTCTTCATACACACGCTACAACCACCAAACAAGAACATAGTTCAAGAATACATGTTAGTATCAAGAATTTTTCTTCCCATGAAGTTGCTTTTTTAAATTCTTGCTACAGAAACATAATCACCATCTAAGACACGAGTTCCTAAAACAAGAGACAATCTATATGTATTCCTAAATAAATATAGTTTTGAAAAAATACCACAGTAAAACAAAAGTGTATTGCTGGGTACCACGATGTTCATTGCAGCACTATTTACAATAGGCAGGACATGGAAGCAACCTAAGTGGCCATCGACAGATGAATGGATAAAGAAGATGTGGCACATATATGCAATGGACTATTACTCAGCCATAAAAAGAAACGAAATTGAGTTATTTGTAGTGAGGTGGATGGACCTAGAGTCTGTCATACAGAGTGAAGTCATAAAGAGAAAAACAAATACCATATGCTAACACATATATATGGAATCTTAAAAAAAAAATTGGTCCTGATGAACCTAGGAGCAGGACAGGAATAAAGACTCAGACGTAGAGAATGGACTTGAGGACACGGGGAGGGGAAAGGGTAAGCTGGGACGAAGTGAGAGAGTGGCATGGACATATACACACTACCAAATGTAAAACAGATAGCTAGTGGGAAGCAGCCACATAGCACAGGGAGGTCAGCTTGGTGCTCTGCGACCACCTAGAGGGGTGGGATAGGGAGGGTGGGAGGGAGGCGCAAGAGGGAGGAGATATGGGGATATATGTATATGTATAGCTGATTCACTGTGTTATACAGCAGCAACTAACACACCACTGTAAAGCAATTATACTCCAACAAATATGTTAATAAATAAATAAATACATGTTAAAAATAAAAATAAAAGCTTCCTTCCTGAGCACAACTAAAAAAACAAGAAAAGTGTTTTGCTGAATCTGTTTTCCTACTGGGAAAAGAAACTCTTTCAATATTAAAGAAAAACAAAACATTTCACAAGATTAAAATTGTTTTTAAAAACCTAATATTAAAATTATTGATTTGGGGCTTTCCTGGTGGCACAGTGGTTAAGAATCTGCCTGCCAATGCAGGGGACGCGGGTTCGAGCCCTGGTCCGGGAAGATCCCACATGCCACGGAGCAACTAAGCCCATGTGCCAGAACTACTGAGCCTGCGTGCTGCAACTACTGAAGCCCATGCTCCACCACAAGAGAAGCCACTGCAATGAGAAGCCCATGCACAGCAACGAAGACCCAACACAGCCAAAAATAAATAAATAAATAAATTTGTGTTTTAAAAAAGAGATACAGGGCTTCCCTGCTGGCACAGTGGTTGAGAGTCCACCTGCCGATGAGGGGGACACGGGTTCGTGCCCCGGTCTTGGGGGGGTCCCACGTGCCGCAGAGCGGCTGGGCCCGTGAGCCGTGGCCGCTGGGCCTGTGCGTCCGGAGCCTGTGCTCCGCGGCGGGAGAGGCCACGGCAGTGAGAGGCCCGCGTACTGCAAAAAAATAAAAAGATATAATTTGAGAGCAAATCACAAAAGACAACATTTTAAAAAATAAACAAATAATATTACTGATTTGCATGAAACAACAAAACTCAAGATCTGGTCTTACTCATAGGACAGCACACATAATACGGCTGTTAGTAAAGCCCATTATAAAGGTTCATTTGTATCATTATAATTCCACATTTTATTGTGCACACCGTAGGGGCACTTTCACATTAATCCACCCCACGAAACATCAGAAGAGACCAGCATCCTAACTACACCGCACGGAAACGTGCTCACAGAAGGAGAAGCAACCTGCCCAAGGCCCTGCAGCTGAGGACTCCTTCTGGCTCACGCCGCAGCGTCTCCCTCAAAAGTTCCTGATCTTTCTCACCACGCACGACTCCCCAAAGCAGTTTTTTTAATATGCCTCAACTTTTCGATTTTTACGTATAAGCTCATTTCTTTATACCTTTTGCCATCTTAGGCCAACAACTATGTATTGTGCACGAGGTGCCCTGCCCTGCGTCCCAGAAGCTCCACCGCAGCCGGGCTGGGTCTGTCCCTACACCTCGCCGCCCCGCCGCCCACTCCCCAGGCCCCGCCCCCACCTCACACAGCCAGAATGAAAACCCCATGCGGCTGAGATACATTTAGGATTCGCTTAGTCTTCTGGTAACTCATCGTGCAGGGACCCCCGTTAGCCCTCGACTTCACCAACCCTCGCCAATCTGGCTGCTATGAGTCATGCAAAAGCATCAGACAAATCTATTCCCTCTGCCTGTTTCAATGGGTAACCAACTGTTTCTAACACCATTTTTTAAATGTCATAAACAGATTAAAAGAAATCGACCAATTAAAAGAAAGGAAAAGAAATAGCCGTTTTCCTGAATGAGGCCCATTAGGTACAGTGCATGCCTCCCTGTGAAGCACAATTAAACATCTACTCTCTGAAAGCGCATCCAGGCTCCCTGTGTCCCAACACTTCTAGGTCAAACCTTGGCAGAAAAATTGTTTTCCAAGTTGTTAGTCCCCTAGGCAAAATAAATAAATTCTAAACCTCAAATGTGCAAGCCAAGAATGTTACAAATCTTCCAGCAATTCCTCTAGAAGCATCCTTAACCCACAAACAAACTATAATAAAAGGCAGCTGTGTTTCTAAACATGTGATCAACGTGCCATTTAACCAAGGGGGAGGGGGTGGGGGAAAGGGGGATGTTACGTGAAACCCGAGTGATTCAGAATTTGTGGTCATTTGAAAAGAGTTTGAGTACAGCTTAAATACTTAAAATTTCCCTCTGCTCCCATGCTTAGTACATGATTTTTCTCCCTAGAAATTCAGACCTCACATATGAGGCCCGTAAACTTCTATTCCTCCATGACCGACACTTTCCAACACATAAATAACTTCCTGGCCTGGTTCCTTTCCCGTCAAACCACTGGGGCGCCCACTGTTGTGAACACAGTCATTCCCCAGTTCTTCGTGCTCTGACACCTCTGAAGGGGCACAAATCACTCCCACATATGTTGCCAAACCCCCAACAAAACAACCGCTCGGACTTAACATGAAATTCTATCAGAGGTCTACAAGTATTCTTTTTACCCTTACAATCTTTGAAAAGAATCTACATTTCATTAAAAAAACAATTAGTTTCAACAATTTAATAACTACTTGGTAGGGAAAAAATCAATTACTTCCCAAGATTAACGTAGTTATTCCCAGTAACTGTTACAAACACAGCTGTGTTGTCAAGGAGTTTAGTACGAGTTTTCCAAATTAAATATAAAATGTGGAAGATAAGCATTTAAAAATCTGTACCAAAAAACATCTTTACTACAGGAATTGGTCTTAATTTTAATGCAAATTAAAATTTACCAAGATATATTATTAAAACCATAAAAAAACACCAAAAAAATTAATCAAAATAAGCAGGGTTACAATTATTTGAACTAAATTATATTTACATAATTTCCAGATAAGCCCAAGATTTCTAAATTCTCAAAAAACACTTAAAATTATACACAATCACAACCATACCATAAAGTTCCTAGCACCCCTTGAACTTAAAGAGTTTACTATTAAAATGGCTTTCAACATAGTTTTTAATAAAAACATTTCATTCCATTTCCTACTTTCAGGTACTAAATTATCTCAACTTAAAATCTGGAGACCAGGGACTTCCCTGGTGGCACAGTGGTTAAGGATCTGCCTACCAATGCAGGGGTCTCGGGTTCGAGCCCTGGTCCAAGAGGATCCCACATGCTGCAGAGCAAATAAGCCCGTGCGCCACAACTACTGAGCCCGCGCGCCTAGAGCCCGTGCTCCTCAACAAGAGAAGCCACCGCAATGAGAAGCCCGCACACCGCAACACAGTGTAGCCCCCACTCGCCGCAACTAGAGAAAGCCCGCATGCAGCAACTAAGACCCAACGCAGCCAAAAATTTTTAAAAAATATAAAATAAAATAAAATCTTGAGACAAATAAAATTTAGTCTACTAAAGTGATTTTCCACAAATTTTTAAGAAGTCATGTTCCCAAGCACAGACTGCCAAATGATTTGCACATATAAACAAACACGCACTCCTTTAAAACAATTAGCGGCCATGAGACACGCCTCAGAGGCAGAGCAGGTCCCCCTGCGAGATAGCGCGGTTCAGTCGGAGCCACTCACCACCTCCTCCAGTGCAGCACTGCGCCCGAAAGAGCACGTGAGGTGTGTCAGGCAGCTCACAAAGGACGAGAAGAGCTCGCTTGGAATGGCGGTTAAGACGTTGCGAGGGAACACAGTTATCAGGTTGCTGATGATGCTGGAGATCCCCACAGCTTCAGAATCTTCTATCTCAATTCTACAACCCAAGGCATGAGCATCAGCGTTAAGTGGAGCAGAGGTAACTCGTTTCCAAACATGCACCCATTCATTTTCAAAGGCACGTCTCTGTGTACTCATTTCAACCGACACACGTAACTCTCCTCTAAAGTATAAAAGCAGGGAGTCGCTAGCTTCTTTTTTCCTCCACTGTTAATCACGAGGAAGAACTGAAGCTCCTCTTCGGTTCTAAGGGCCAGGATACCTACCCATTGATGGTGTTCAGTAAGCCCTCAATGAAGTGTGCGAGATAATCCACTTGGGACCCTTCGTCGGGGAAGACGGGTCCGTGAAGAGAAGCTAGCTGGGCGAGGCACTGCAGGGAGTCTTGTGCCATGTCGGAATCTTCTCTGATTTTTCGATGTACCTGTTAGAAAGAATCGCTAATCCATAAACATAAATTCTTTTGTAAGGGTCACGTGTCTATCGTGCCAAACGAGGTGAGAGAAAAATTCACTGTAGCTGAGCATTTCTGGACAACTAATTCCCGAGTTAAACTAAATTTGAAAATTGTCCCTCAGTCCATTTTATGTTATAGGCCATGACTTTACACATACCAATTAATTGTCAGTGGAGAGCTACCTACATTTTGAAAACTGAACTGTCTCCGGCGTGTTATGACAAAGAAACAGATGCCGGCCAGTCAGACATACTGCTTTTTCTAAAAACAGCAGCAACGACAGTCATCTGTATTATGCTAACTATGCCCCGCTGCAGCTTCTTGCTAAAGTCAGCAAAGTTCGGGCAAGAGCATATAGATGCTGCTTCGCTGGAAGCAGACAGTTACACACTCGCAAAACCAGCATGCCCCCCAATCCCTAGAAATTCACTCATTCAAACAATATATTAACATGGTGTTTCATCAACTCTGATATTGCCTACAATTTATTTGAATCTCTTTTTATCCTATATCATTGCTATTAATAAATTTTTTAAATATTTAAATTTTACTTAAATTATATTTAAATTCACTTTAAACCTCACGTAGAATTTATTTCAATGCTGCAATACTGAGGTGAAACACCTGGCATACAGTGTTCTGATGAAGGAAACACTCCCAAAATACTGCTCCCTAATTTTACAGTGTCATTAATATCCTCAGACTTACATAATTAAAACAGACAAGGAAAATATTTTTAGCAGAGAAATCACAGGTAATTGTTTATCTTAATCCACCACATTTACTGTGGCCACTTTCCACTTTCCACAAGGATTTGAATTTTCCAGCCCCTCTTTCCCTACACAAATCTCTGTGCTTTCTGAGGGTCACACAATTTAAACATTTATTCTCTATCTGTGTCAGGTTATTTCACTCTGACTCTGCAATCATTTATAAATTACTTGAAGTTAGGATGCTTCCCAACTATTCACTGGTACAGTGCGGGGACACAGTGAATACTCATAAACCCTTAATTCACTGGTTGATTCCATTAATCTTTAATTCCTGAACTGCTTAAGGTTCTAAGAAATTTAAAATATTAAAAACTCGCTGTTAAGTTACAAAGTTAATTTATCTACTGACATGCTGAAAGGGGTTTAGAAAAGGGGTTGTCAAACCACAGCCCACAGGCCAGACCTGGCCTCCTGCCTGCTTTTGTGCGGCCTGTGAGGTAAGAATGGTTTTTACCCTTTTATGTGGTTGGGAAAAACAAAACCGAAGAATAATATTTCAAGACATGTGAAAATTATACAAAATTCACGTTGTAACAGCCATCAGTGAAGTTTTGCTGTAACTGCTTGTACTGGGAGGCCAGAGCTGAAGCTGCCTCAGAGAACTAATGACCTGCAAAGCCTAATATTCTACCCAGCCAATCCCTGGTCTAGAACAACACAAGGGTTTTTCAAAATACATTCTAAGTTTTATATATAGTAAATTTAAAGTACAATCACAAATCCATATATCCATTCTATTCAAGAACTTCTGAACACAGCTTATTCTGAAGTTCCTTATCTGAAAACTGTAACTACATTTCTGTCACCTTGTTTTTTTAACCTTATCAACATTTAAACATGACAGAGACAACGCAACCTGGGACCACAGAGGGCTGCTTCTCCACCCACACAGCCAAATGGTTGCTCAATCCTGGTCCAGACATGAGGAAGCAAAAGAAACAGCCAACATGGATTATGTAATTAAATTAAATAAAAATAAGAAACTGTCCTCAGAGCCTGACTTTACTGGGCACACTTATGTTTCCTAAAATATGAACCACATATAACATGATAAATCAATGGCTGATTCTTACGTAACACGGTAGATTCTTGCTCTCTTCCATTACAAAGGAATTCTACCATATCTGAACCATGTTACACAAATTAAAACCTGAATTCACCACCTGAATAGGGAAAAGCAGAGGGATAAAGAAAAGCAAAGTCTAGCGGAAGACCCAGGGAGGTGACTGGAGAAGCAAGACAAGAAATACGGACAAGGAATGAAGAAAAGTACGTTAGTAAGACGCTGAGTCCTATGGGAACACACTGAATCCGAGACGACTTCGGGCATCCAAGTTAAAGCGCCCAGCGCAAGGATTACGAGGCTCTGGGACACAGGAGCAGCCTGTGCTGAATACAGACGAGGAGTCCTTGGTGCAGAAGTGTCGCTCGGTGAGCTACGAGTGGAAAAAGAAGCCCAAGGAACACGTACACAGTCAGCAAAGCTGAGAACTGAGACAGGAACACCAGTATTTATCCAACGAGCAGAGTAAGAAGAGACCATAAATGAGATCAGGAAGAATATGTCAAAAAGGAAAAACTAAGGAGAGTGGTTTCTCCAACACCTAATGGAAAGAAGAAAACTGGAGAAGCTTGTGAACTTGTAGGGGGCAGAAGGCCATCTAAGGTCTCCTGAACCCAGATGGGTCACAGCTGGGTCTCGAGGCCACGACACAGTACACATAAGTGCAGCGATTCAGATCTAGAGAAAAAGTGACATGCAGTGGAAAACTGCTTCAAATAGGCAATGAATTCACATAACTGAAAATAAACTTAAAAAAAAAAGTGAATGAAAAGATTAGTCACTGACATTTTTCTAACAAATAACAAAATTAAAATTGTTCATAAGTGCATACATGAAAAAGTAATAGGCCACAAACACAAAACTGTTAAAATCACAAGGTGAAAGGGGTTAACTTTCAGATGCAGAAGTTATCTGCATGTGGAGGCTCCCAGCTGACAGGAGCAGCTGTCTACTGCATCCAGACAGCTGTTCACAGGGGAGCTGTTTCCAGCACTGCCAGCAAGTTTTTCACCTTTTCAAAAACTGCTGGAACGGGATCCAATTTCAGTCAAATGAATAACACAGAGAACTGAACTTGGATACACATCAAAACAATTTCTGCCAGAGGCAGGCAACAGAATGTTAAAATGTAGTTACAATTATCTTTGATACTGATAACGTTTTTAGCCATCATTTCTCGGATTTAAAGAAGAAAATGCAAGGTAATACTCAGTCTAAACATTTCTATAGAAAAATATTTTTAGGTACACCTAGGGGTGAAATTTGTAAGGCTCGTGAATAGTACCTTTAAAACACATGAAAAGGTAAACTATAATTAATGGTTGGGATTTAGCAAAATAGCTTTCTTTTTTCTTTTTAATTGGTCTTTATTTGGACTTTTGCCCTAGTCATTATACCTAACTAACTTGCATGCTTGCCCTACATCTGCAAACCTGTATCCAAAACACACACACACATACTACACACACACGTATTTCCCATATTTTCTCCAGCTTTTGACTATTACACTGGGGGGCCCTCTAGGGCAAACATGGGAGCACATTCCTAACTTCCTGGTATTTGAAAGTTACAGCTGAAATAAACTGGTATTCAGTAACTCTAACTTAACCCACGGCTGCTCATCAGTACACAACAAGTGTACTGCTCTAGAACAGCACTTCTCAAAGTGCGGCCCAGGGGTCCCCAAAGGTTCGTGACACCCTGTCAGGTTGTCTGTAAGGTCAAAACTACTCTCATAATACCACTGAGGCAGTGTTTGCCTTTTCCATTCCTACCGTCACACACCCACGTTCTACGTGACTGTAGAACACTGCAACTGAGCGAACGCAGCAGCAGATGAGAGGGCCTGGCTGTCTTCTGTGACACCAGACATTGGAGAGGTCTGCAAAAATGTCAACAATGCCACTCTTCTCACTAAACTTTCTGTCTGCTTGTTTTAAAAAACATAGCTATTTGTTCACTGAAATGTTATTTACGTTAATATGTAGTGGTTTGGTATTGCTATTTTTAAGTGAATTAATAAATTATTTTTTAAAGTTCTCAGTTTGAATTTTTAACATGGTAAACACTAATAGCTATAACCCACATAAACAAAAGCCCTTCGGGGTCCTCGATGATTTTTAAGAGCGTAAAGAGGCCCTGAGACCAAAAAGCTTGAGCTCTACGACGTTAAACCCTTCATAATTCTATAACATTTTAATAAACCAGCAAAAACATTTCTATATAATCTTTGTTTAAGCAAATATACTGATCAGGAGAGAAGGCTTTGGAGGAGAAAAGCAATCTGTCTTGATTTACTTAAAAAAGATACAAAAGCACGCATTCTTCCCGTGGCACTTTTCTGTGGCTTCCCTGTGGCAAGGGAGAGCAGGACTTACGGTAAAGAAAAGCTCCATGACCCTGCTGTCCAGAAGGGCCTCCCGCCAGGACTCCGTGGGCTTCAGGAGCACATTTTGCGAGGACTCAAACATGGCTATATAATGTCTTCCCAGTTAGCTGGGGTCAAGGTCAACCACAATAACATTCCGACTTTGTCTAAAATGTAAGTATATCCTAAATATAACGGAGCCATCCAGAAAGAATGTAATGGAAACAGTTTAAGCCTCTTCACATTTGCTACATAATTCACGCCTGAAGCTAAGGAATAAAAGGCATTAAGTGCTGAAAAAAAGAATGCTAGAGGAATGTAGATAACAGTTTCATCATAATTATATATCATGCTGCAGGGGTACATAAAGTCTGAGCACAGGTGATCTGAGTGGTGGCAACAGGAGGAGAAACACTAACGCAAAACAGATGCCAAAACACATGCAAGAAAAGAACCCATTTCTACATGTTGATCCCATCATGTCCCCCAATATCTTACAGCAGCTAAAACCACTTACACAAAATGTGAGTTTCATACAGTCTGCTTGGAAAAATAGCATTTTCCCAAAAGAAATACACTTACTGGGACACAAAAAGAGTAAAGGAGGAGCAAATACACATCCTACCGAAGAAGAAGAACTTCCAAACATCAGATCATCAACTCCACACAAAGACAATCATCACTTTACATAAAACTCTATCCCAGGCTAAAAAGCAACGCTTATGATGTTCAGGTGTTCACTGTCAAGCTGCTTCAAACAGAACACCGTCTTTACCACACAGAGAGTAACCATAAAATACACCTGCAGGTTTTGTGAACATAACTCATTCAGGGACACAGACACGGTAACTGAGGTTTCAGGAAAGGAGAAACCTGTCTGGGCACAGACAGCGTTACGCCCCTTCCACGCTCATCAAACGCCCAACTAGACCAGGGGTCCCCAACCCCCGAGCCGAGGTCCAGCATCAGCCCCGCGGCCTGTTAGGAAACGGGCCACACGGCAGAAGGTGAGCGGTGGGCAAGCACGTGAAGCTTCCTCTGCCGCTACCCCCCCAACCCCGCCATCGCTCGCATCACCGCCTGAAACACGCCCCCCGCCCCGCCCGTGGAAAAACCGTCTTCCATGAAACCGGTCCCCGGTGCCAAAAAGGTTGGGGACCCCTGAGCCAGACCATTCTCATCACCCAATGAGAAATTTCAACAAGTTATCCAAACTACGGTTTGCAAAAATTAGATATAAGTTCAAATTCTACATGTTCATTAAAGCCCAAATCATTAACAGAGAAAATTAAAGGCAACGCTATGGAAATTTTTTAAAAAGATTTTTGTTTAACCCTCTTTTAAAATAACTAATATTATTTTGTGTCTGAAGAGCAAGGAGGGGCACCAAGAGTTCTTTCAGAAAAGAAGCCATTGCTTGTTTCTGAACAATCACTCCAGAAATGTTCTGTGATTGCACTTAATTGCTGAATAAAAGTGAAACTCAAACCAGGTTGGTTTAAATCTCACTTTTCTCTTCCTCTGTCTGCCCCCTTGTGGAGGGCAGGGAGAACTGGGGCCAAAAGGAAGGAGCTGCCGGACTCTGAAACAGCAGCATCGCGGGGCCTCCTGACCCAGAGCCACTGGTGTGTCCGTAGCTTCTGGAACGACTTCATCTTCTCGCGAGGCACCTAGCTGGTGTGAGATTGTTAGTACTGGGCTCTCACCCAGAAGAGAACACAACAGCTAAACACTAGGTCTTTCCATGTGTTATCTAAAAACGGGGGCTTGATTATCCTTTAGAGAAGCAAACTGAAATGGTGGTGGGTGAAATCTGATGTCTGGGATGTGCTTCACAATAATCTGGGGCTGGAAGAGCAGAGAGGAAATAAAACTTACAGCTGGTGAAGCTGTATTCTATTTTTGTGCACCTTTGGAATTTTCCACAGTAAAAGTTGGGACATAAAACAAGGAGGCTCGGGCTTCCCTGGTAGCGCAGTGGTTGAGAATCCGCCTGCCAATGCAGGGGACACGGGTTCGTCCCCCGGTTCGGGAGGATCCCACATGCCGCGGAGCGGCTGGGCCCGTGAGCCATGGCTGCTGAGCCTGCGCGTCCGGAGCCTGTGCTCCGCAACGGGAGAGGCCACAACAGTGAGAGGCCCGTGTACTGCAAAAAAAAAACAAAACCAAAAAACAAGGAGGCTCAAGCACATGAAATAAAGCACCTGAGAGTAAGACAAAGTTTTTGTACTTCATAAAAAATATTCCACTTCTTTTCCAGGTTAATTCCCTTAATTTTCAGTGTCCTATTTTTTCAATTAAAAGGCAATTTTTTGGTATATAAATTGTTCAGTAATGAAAAGTATTTATTAAATACTTATATTGAGTTCTACATTGAACAAAGATGCACAAATTATGACAATCTAGTTACATTTTTTAAGGAGTTGCAATCTGACATTAAAATGGTAAGAAACTTTATGTGTCAGACACCCAAATCTAACAAACAAAATATGTGTATCATCACTAAACACTTTCCATGAGGAAAATAACAGACTGCCTTAATACTTTATCTGCTCACTAACCGTGTCATGATTTTACTTTTACCTTAGGTGGGATGTGAGACAGAGTCACTGAACCGTAATGAAACGGTCAGGCCACCTGTCCTGGGTCTCGTTCGCACAGCCACCTGGGCAGAGCAAATGCACGCAGCCCTCAGGTGAGGAGCAGCGGAGGCCCCTCAGAGGCCCAACACAGAGGAGGGGCGCTGGGGCGGACGCAAAGAGTGGAGTTTATGGACTTTGCTAGTCTTGGAAATGTGGAAAAGCTCCTTTCAAGTGAGTGAAGAGCCCTGCAACTGACCAAGACTGCCAGTTACAAAACAACAGGGGGTTGTCCAGGTCCTTTAGCAAGTGAGAGTTGATTAACGTCAAAGATTAATAAATATTACAAAAGGAAATGAGACCTAGACCAAGATCTCTTTGCTATCTTTCATTCAATTACAAAATGTGGACACTCCATAAATACTTGTAGATATCAGTTACTTACATTAAGAGGAAACAGAAGGATGTAAGTTTGAGAGAAGCCTTTTTTCCAGCTATGAGATGGAATTAAATGCAATTGCTCACCTAAACATCAGGTGCAAAATAATCCTCAAATCTTTTATTTATTTTTTTTAATCCTGATGTTAGCTTCTCTTGATCTTGGCCTGTTTTAAACACACTATTCCCAGTGCCCAGTCTGTATGGCCAAATGTTCTTAAAAAGCTGACGACCAGCATGGTTTTAGAATTGTCATTCCTTGCATGTTGCCCACAGCACAAGGAGATCTGAGACTTTAATATCTGACACAATCATAAAATACTTTTCTCCAATAATTATTTTAAAGTTCCATGTGAGTTTTATTTTTAACTCCAAACCTGGAAAGGATCTTTACCTCTGGCATGACATTTGCCTCCTATTAAGAAAGCTCACTGGTAGCGCTCCTGGCACAGAGGCCACACTAACTGTTCTTTGAAGAGTTACCCTACAGCACTGCAGACTAACCCACCTTCCCTTTTACCAGCCAGCCTAGCACTGCCACCCGGTACCAGTTGTTCATAATAAGAATGAACACATGCTCCAGTGTGTACAGTGAGACACAACCGTATGACTTAGTTATAAATAATCTCTCTCTCTCTACGAAAAGAACATGTAATTATCTTCAAAAGCATTTTAATACAAACTTAACATAAAAACAGCAAAAAGAACAGTACAGTAATGAATGGAACAAATTTTTAAGAACAGTGCTATTCGAACAAGAAATACACGTTGTAGTCAGCACACTGGACTGTGAATCTGCTGAAGGCGCTGCCTGTAAAGAGGAGGGAATAAGGGCCCTTCTGTGTTGCCTGAAATACTGTTATTAAGAAGGCGCATGCACTACTTTTCAATTAAAAAGCTAGTTAGAAGCTTATCACAGTGTGAACAGACTTTCACATGCAGATCTGGACCGTTTCTGCACATTCAATTCAACTTTTAATTTGGTATTACCAACTATTTCTGTATCTGTGTATAAGTGACCCCAAAATACCACTTCTCCCCAGATAATTCTTAATGTAGAATACTTTAAAAACAACAAGGAGAAGACCATCACTAAAATTCTATCACTTCTCCTCTTAAGACAATATTTTTTGAATGATTTAAAATTTAAATCAAGCAGTATTTCCTCCTTCTTTCCTAGTTTTGCGTCTTCCTTTATTCCTTCTCAAAAATCTTTACTTTTTTCAAGTTCTTGTTTAATAACCTATAATTCTCTCCAAGCCTAGACTATCATATACAAATGTTAATCATGTTTCTCTCTTCCTGATATCCAAAAATAAATTTTCCCAAAAAATTGTTATACAAAGCAATAGTCTCTAACAGTTTTAATAAAGCAGCAGGTTCCTACTTAAAAGTTGCAGAAGTTTCAGTTCACAGAACTACTTTAACAGCCATGTCATAATATCAACATTCTATTGCTTTATTTTTATCCAAATATATTACCAATAAAAGAGAAGTCTGACAGTGAAGTGATTATTTACTAATTGATCATTTATTATATGCTTGTTAGATTTTAGGAGACATATGAGTCACACCAGATTGATACCATTAAATAGCAATTATTTACCAAAATTCAAATCAGATTTTAAACCAAGAATTTTCTGGGGCTATGGCTTTACATATTTTTCTAAAATAAATACTAAACTCAGGTAATTTATATTTTGTATCAGAATCATTCATTTTGTGATCAAATAAAATTCAACCCACGTGACAGCCATAGAGCGCTGCTTTCAGCCTTTAATAATCCTGTCTTTTTAAAACTCTGTCATCGCATCAACATCACTTCACCTTGCCGTGTTTTCACCACTTCGAGAACCAGGAGCTACCATACAAGGACTCTCCTGTCACTGGACACCGTACAAGCCCGTCTGTGAGCAAGGCTGCAATTCTGAAGTCCGAAAACCCAGCCCGTCTTCTGACCTCTGTGCTCTCAGTCCCCTGGAAATCAGTCACAGCTGGAAGTCAACTCAACCTCGCACACACACTGAAGAATTAACTCTCCGTCTCCTGGCCCTTCTCCCACGGCCATCCTACCGAGCTCTAAAGCTCTCTGCTGGGGAAGCTCAC